GGTCAGGGCAGATCATCAGGACAGACGCGCAAGTACCATTGGTTTTGTATGAACATTTCACATTAAGCGCGTATGATCAGTGCGTATGATTTGGTACGACGGTCATACGCCGAGCCCGTGCGTTAACGTAGCATCAGCGCGCGCACGAGCAATAGTTTTAATGAGCGATTTCACAAAGGACTGACGGTCAGTTACATACCGGCAAGCGAGGTTGCCGTTGCTTGTCTGTGCACGTTTTGTGAGGTTACTTCTATGTTATTGAATGTACTGGAGTACAAAGCACCTTTTACTCGTAGATACTCGTACCTTGCACATATAATAGGTTGTACCTATAAACGTTTCTGTGTTATCGTCTCCTTTTAATTATAAGCCAAGATATGGCAACATCGATTTTCCTGCGATTGTTCAACATGGTATTCAAATTTGAACTGACGATCCGTTGCATGTGAAATGAGTACGCCCAACGTATCATCACCGCTAATATTTCAGAGCTGACCATATGCTCCATGTGAAACGGCTCTTAGCGTAAACCTGACCTTGATCATTTTTATAAATACCTTACTCGGAATAATATAAAGCTGTTTCGTTACCTTTGTTATTTTTCCAATGCTGACCTCGGATCGTCCTATATTTCCTCAATACGCAGTATACAAAGGGGGGGGGGGGGTGTAATGGAGTGGTTGAGGGTGTACTGCAATTTTTTAATGCTAGTGCATTAATACACTCCGATCTCCGATGATACTATTAGATATATATTTCACACATCATAGATTGCCCCGTACATACATTTGCCTTTAAAGCTTTGAACATTAGACAAATGTTTTCGACAAGCGTCCCTGCGTTTGCTGACCCCAATTGCCGCGGCCGGAGCGTCGGTGTTCGTATGTATCGCTCTAACGCGTCTTGCATGTTCGTAACTATTTTCTTAGATGCCTCCACTTCCCTAACGGCGACGATCGTTGATCGTGTGATCGTTCATAAAATGCACGATCACACGAGGAATGGTAAATATCCGGAGAAAACCTCATAGTCCATTTATATGTCTGGTGTAACTTCTGAAACTTAACATAATTGGATTAATTAAAATCACGTTGGCACACAGCTGTCTGTCCAGTGCTCCGACAATTTTATTGTTAATTCAAAGAATTGAGGAAGTGGTTTTTGTGGGAAGTTGTTTCATACTCACAGTGCAGGAGTTGATGATAAAGTGGTAAAGAACAGGCGTGACTGCGTTGAGTTAAAATGGTTTTGCCAGGTCTGTTTACCTGTCATCGATGGAAAGTTAAAGAAGACTGATCTAGCGGATGTTAAGGCCAGTGAAATTTTGATAAAAACTGGTAAGCTAATAAAACTACTGGAGTCGTCTAATACTATTACTGCTGGAAAAATGTCATTTGCTGAAGTATTGAAATCTAAACAGTCACCTATTATGAAACCAAAGAATGTCAATCAGAATAGTTCCACCACAAAAACAGTATTAGCACAAAAAAAATCACCTGCTGATATCAACGTATCAGTTACCAGTGCAAAGCAGGTCTCACACGGTCAGGTAGTGACGAGTATCAAGTTAAAGTGGGCAATATGATGAATCCAAAAATCAAGATACTTAATGTTAAGGAGGAGGAGACCATTGATGTTTCTCAATTTTTAAGTACGCTTCGGAGGGGAAACATTCCTGAGTATATGAAGGTGGTTCATAAGTACAAAACCTCAAAAAGCAAAGAAAACACTGTTAACGTTATATTGGAATTATCTCGAGTAGTGTTTAGCTACCTGGTGATGAAAAAAGGCAGATTATACATTGGTTTCAATGGATACAAATTCTTCGAATTTATTACTGTCAATCGTTGTTTCAAGTGTTCTAAATACGGACATTTTGCTGATAAGTGCCAAGCCCATCATAAAAAAGATCAATGCAGTAACGGAGGCAATCATTGTCTTTGTTCCAATTGTACGTATATATATGCGTCTCATGTTTTGAAGATACCAAACATTAGGTACAATCACCATGTCTTTGATCCTAACTGCCCAATTTATCTGAAACAAGTAATCAATATAAGATGAGGGGAACCGTATCTGTCTACTACCAAGCCCAAAGGATCTACAAGTACCACAGCAAGTGGCTATAACCGGCCGCGTGGTGGTGGTTAGACGTCTCCTTGAAAATTCGAGGTCGTATAGCCATTTTATACTACAATGTGTAGGTTGGCTCTTGTTGTGGACTTCGTGTGTCGTTTTTTTCCCCTCCAACTTCGTTTCCTCAGGTTACACCTGTATCCGGATGTGTGGACATATGTATCTACATTTGTAGTTTCATATGTGCATTCATTTCGGGCCTGATGAAGCCAACCAGCAGAAATACGTATCGCTCGGGTTACCTATCCTATTGTCTGCTCGAATCCACTTTCCTCCTTTTTGCGGATTTTACCCATTATTTTCCCACCTGTTGTTATATATATATATATATTAGGTTTTTAACGTTTAAAGCCTGGGCTCCTATGTAGCACTAATAAACTACAAAGTGCGTCTAAGCGTTGTCTAAAGTCTTATGTAATCAACTAACAAAGTTCAAAGTCTTGAACGTGGATCATACGATTTAGATGCAAAGAATTGTATGCTGAATAGTTGTAGACATGCACAAAATGGTGTCCATCAACTTATCCACACACTCACATGTAAGTCAACAGGCAAAGAAAGACTGTCATAATCGAGAAAAATGTATCAATATACTCTTACAACTTTGAGATGTCGATGTGAACCAGATCATGTGACAAATATCATATGCTTCTCTAGTATCAGGATTTAGAAACCATTAAAGAACCGCTTAGGCCTTTCGAACGTAGAATACTACGAAATAATTTTTTACTTCTCTACCTCCCAAACACATATCATATAAGAACAAATATCGGAACCAAGCAGTTGTTTGTAGATAGTGATATTGTCCAAGAAATAAAAGCAAAGCAATTGAGATGGACTGGCCACTCAACACTCAACAATGATCGGTTAGTGAAGTTGACCTGGAAGGAAGCACCACCTTTAAAAAGACCTCTTGGTTAATCCTTTACGAGAGGAATAACATGAAGTCAGACAATCTCCCATGTTTGTCTGGCCACATTCGAGTATATGTTTAAACTAATTTTTTATTGTACAACGTTTTGGTCACAATGGTAACCTTTTTCGAATTCAATTGACAGATTTGGCAATAAATTATCACGAGTCATCATACCATTGAAAAATATCTTCCAAGGTGGCGCCCAATCATTAGCTAATACATAGTATCCATCCATCAATTTTATCACCCCGTTCAAAAGTTAAGTAGGGCCCTCTACCATTCGAATGCTCAATGTTTTCTGCCGAATTCGTATAGTATACGATATATACTTTATTGTACGTATGGTATGTGAGATCTTGGACCACCGCATGTATTGCATTTTCACTATTATTTCTACATTTTATTCCGGATAAATGGTCTGATGAATTTAAATGAATTAGTAATCAATTCAAAGAATTAATGCAAATGTGCACCGAATAAAAATAAAACTGATATAGGCATTTAGACATACTCCATTTAAATGATGCATACTCGTACTAATGGCAAATATTAACGGATCAAATAAAAATTGTAAAATTTTTGGTGATTCATTGAAGTGCTATATCTCAGTAAAAAATGGTTCTATACAAGTTCTAAGATCATTTTGGTCAAATAATTTTTGAAGCTGCAGGCTGCTCGCAATCGTAGGGAAAAGTGTGGAAAAAATCGCAAATTTCTTCTTATATTTATATTTAAGTCTTCGGACGTCGCCCGCTTACTTAGTTTCAATTTGCTTTTTTCAGAACCTCCATTAGATCATTTCTTGCTTGGATATTTAGTTTTTTGTTTTTAGTGAAAAAGTACCCTTTTGGCATTGGTCGTCGATATCTCGGGAATCAATTTTTGCACAGAATATCAAATTGTGGGTTTAGACGCTTGAATGGATTCTCTAAAAGGACCGATGATCATTTATGGGAAAGCATTTTTCGTTATTTATACAGGCAAATATGGACTAACCTGGAATAATCCTTGTTTAGAGCAATCCAACTTTCGAACAAATTGAAGGATCAATTTATTTAGGCTTTGGTTTTCCAAAAATAACATAAATTACCCATTTTCCCTATTTTTTAGCCCATGTGAAGGATGAAAAAAATTGTTTTTCCATAAATTACCATTGACCCTCTTAGAGAATCTATTCTAGCTTTTAAAACCACCCTTAGGTTTTTTGTTCGATTATGCGATCCTTAACGTAAAGTTTTCATGAATTTGTAGCTTCAGCAGTAAACGATTGCTTGACAGTCAAAAGGTTTCCAAAGTGGTGCGAGGAAATTGAGCTTGTATGCTAATTTTTATTCTGCGGGGAAGCTATCTATGTCTGGAAGAGAGCATGTTTGGAAAGTGGAGAAGGGACTCATGCGCAATATAACCTGGTGGAAGTAGCAGTATCTACAGAAACTTCACAATGGTGGCGGATATGCTGACAGTAATTTCGTCAATATGACAATTGCTTGTTGCTTGATCAACTGAGTATCTAGTAAACATGTTAAAAAGCTATTATGAAAAAATAAGTTTTCAAGTATTTTAGTGACAGAAAAGAAATGGGTATCACTATGACAGTTATTTATTTATGTCTGCACGAGAAGGTTTCGCAAAGTGAGCTACGCATAATTTAGCGAAAAAGTAGTGTTCTAGTTCATTAAAAACTGTGAGTTTTAACCCAGAGGTTACAGTTATGTTGATGATTTGAGTTGTGAAAGCAGCACAAGGAAATCTGGATAAGTGCGTAAGTTATAAACGTTTATTTTTTCCGTTGGCCGTACATAAACAAAGTAAGCTGTCACGCCCAGTTACGCCCACGCTCTGAGAAGGTTCTAAACGACCAAGTTTCGATAGCGATACCATCCAATGATCTTGACACTACCGTTACAGTGTATTCGACTGACAGCAACACAAAATTGGGTACGCGATCATGACAGAAAAACCAATTAGTCTCGAGGACATCTACAATTTAATTGCAAACTCCAATACGGAACTCAAGGGTGAAATTGAGCAACTAAATAAGAACATCACAGAAGTAAAAAAGGAGATAGAGAACAGGAATAATAAATTTAAAGAAATTAAAGAAGAAAATAAAACATTAAAAAGCAAACTGAATGTGCTTGAAGCTAAGTCGAAGAAGTACAACGTAGTTGCGTATGGCATAAATGAGGAAGATAAAGGAGCAGCAGAACCAAACAAAATATTTTGATAAAATCTAAACAATTACCGAGAGGATCTGGCGTATTTGTCAGCAATGACTACACAAAGGAAGAAAAACAAGCTAGACAAGCAAATAACTCAGCATATATAAAAAACAACAAATTATATGTGAATGGTGACGCCTATTCGTATGAAATACTACAACAGGACGAGTTACCAGAAATATTTACAGTAGGAACTATATCGAAATCCGAAACAGCCCACAGATCCACAAACAACAATAGCCAGACCAAAAGAGGGGAAAAGAGATCTGCTGAAAAAGCTTCTTCAGGAAAGTCAAAAATCTTAGTAATTCATCAAGGCCCTAAATTAAGAAGCAATTCTAGGCCATAATGGACTCATACATTCGCGATTTTCGAATAGAAAAGCTTAGCACTAAACATGTAACATCTATAGATGAATGCAATAGCATTTTGAATTCAGAATGTAACACAGAAAATGTTTCGTTATTGCACCTAAATATTACTAGTATACATAGAAATTTCGACGAATTCAAAGTGCTACTACTACTACTACTACTACATGGAATCAAAAAAACATTCGACTGTATAGTTTTGTCAGAATGCTGGAAACTTGAAGATATTTCACTATATCAACTGGAAAATTATAACATATACTATAATGATGGATATATTAACAAAAATAACGGGGGTTATAGCTTATATCAATAAAAACGTTGAGGTGACCGAGAATACAATAATACAACTTTCTAACACAAACATAAAGATTTTGCAGCTTTCTATAAAAAACTGTAAAGACCTGATACTTGTTTCAGCTATTTACAGATCACCGTAAACAGACGCATTGTCATTTCTCAGTGACTTGGAGCCATATCTTGAATTTTGTAACAAAAGACGCTGCATCCATCTACTGGCGGGTGACAAACATAAATATAATGGAAAAGTCTGAGTTACCGGAAAAATACTTGAATACCTTAGCCTTGTATAATCTTCGTCCAGCAATAAATGACTACACAAGAGAAAGACTTTTTGGAACACTTCACAAGCATTGGTGAAATACTGGCAGAGAAAATACCACGCACTGCTCCTATCAAACAAGTAAATAAGCTTATCAACTCAATTTATTTAGACGATACGGATGAAAATGAAGTGAGGGAGACTATATTAAGCTTAAAAAATGGCAAGGCTCCTGGAAGCGATAACATAAAAGCTGAAACTCTGAAAAAAATACGATATTATATATGCAGACCTTTAAAATATATAATAAATGAATGTGCAGGAGAATTTCCCGATATTTTAAAGATAGCCACAATAACACCTATCTACAAAAAAGGTAGCAAACTTGATATAGAAAATTATAGACCAATATCTGTGATTTCGAGTATCGCCAAAGCTGTAGAAAAAATAATCAAGTCAAGGTTACTAAAGTTTTTCAATAGGTATAACATGTTACATAAAAATTAATTTGGATTTAAAGAAGGCATATCAACGCAAGATGCAATAGCTACACTATCCAAAAAACTGTACAGGCTAGTTAACCATAAGATCCCTGCTATTTGCATATTTATAGACTTAACCAAAGCTTTCAACACCGTTAGTCATGACAAGCTGTTGGAAACACTCGAGCTTAGCGGTATAAGAGAAACTACTTTAGATTTAATGTCGAGCTACCTAAATAAGAGAAAGCAGTGTGTCAAAATAGATAACGTGACCAGTCATTATAAAGACGTATGGTGTGGCATCCCCCAAGGAACTGTTCTTGGGACAATATTATTTAATATATATATATATATATTAATGATTTGCTCTCAATGGATGCGGGAGGTACACTGTTAGGATTCGCGGACGATACTGTCATAATTTATGAAGACTCAAGTTGGCCCGCACTTAAAAGTAAAAGTCGAAAATAGTTTTACCAACGTACTAGCATATTTCAACACTAAGCTACTCACAGTTAACTCTGAGAAAACTAGTTTTGTATCTTTCGCTATAAAACCATATACCACAATATCTGGGAATATATATGGATCAAAATAGATGGGATGTTCAAATCGAATATGTGACAAAGAAAATAAGATGCCTCATACCAAAATTCAAATGTCTTAGAAACATCATTAATACTGATTGCATGAGAATCTTATACTTCGCTCTTGTGCAGTTACATCTTTGCTATGGAATACTTGGCTGGGGAGGAGCTGGCTTCACCTACATAAAGAACTTGGAGATTGCCCAAAATATTTATTAAAAATTCTTTATAGCAAGAGCAAAACTCATCCATCTGATGAGCTATACCATGATTCTGGAATGATGGTCATTAGGCAAACCTTTATTTATAATTGCATGGATACTACTTCAAAAATAAATTATTTCATGAGGAAATCGCTCAAAAATATGATACCCGCCAGAAAGTTGCTAGGCACATAATGGTACCTAGGCCGGAAAAATCATTATTGCAACGCTCCTGGATTTATCTTTGCCCCAAATTGTACAACGAAATGCCTGATGATTATAAGTTAATACGAGACATTGCTTTATTCAAGACAAAATCAGTATGGGTGAAATGTATACCCAGGAGCATAATACATGATTATATAGAAGGCAAAACATTGTATACATCACTTTCACAACCCAAATGAAGTCACCGTTCTTAGAATAATAGCTGCTTTCTATTAATTTTTTATTTTATCATATTTTATTGTACTTTATTATATTTTATTATGTTTTATTATGTTTTATTATATTTTATTATAGTCACTTATATGTTTATACCGTATCTAAGGTATGATGGGCACTGCAATTTTAATTTAATTTAATATTAATTTAATTTAATTTAATTTTATTCTATTCTATGCTTGATATATCCTTGTCTTTATTGCTCACAAAATAAATGCAACTACCAGTTTTGTAATGTCATTTTAGTTTTTATTGTCCTTTACCATAGATGTACTCTTTTTTTATTGTTTAGCCTTTTGATTTATGTTATTTATTATTGAATTTAGTTAAAGTGCCACAGTGTCAGTTTAAAGTTTTGGCGTTTCTTCCAGTGATCGTGTAACAGCGAATTATGTCAGTGCGTGCGTTAGAAGTACATAGTGCATTAGCAAGTACTTGATAGTCTATTTTATCTGCGGATAGACAACTGACAATAATAGGATGGCCACACACAAGATTTTTCTTTCGTGGCATTACTTTTATTTGTCATTGATACTCCTTTGTGGCAACAGTCTTTGAAATTTATATCTGCATGATTGTATTTGACAAATAAATTATTATTATTATTATTATTAGTTCTACAAGGACGGGTGTCGGGGCCATATCATTCAATCATTCCATATTGACGCCAGGCACCATACAACGGGACTTCTAATTTCTTGCTTAACAAGCACAGAAGGTACATAGAAGGTAGTTTTGGACTATCATAAGGTCCTGAAGACACGAGTAACAGTAAATTATGGAAACGAAATCTCTCCATAATTGCTTGCGATGCCGTGCTTCATATAGTCTTGCACGGGCAATTATCTCCCTATGAGTGTGGCTAAGAGAGATTGGAATAATATGGAAAACATTGGAGGTAAGAAAAAGTATTCCGTAATAACTGGGTCTGCTAAACTTTCATAATTTAATTTAATTCACATTGCGAATCTTGCTGTACTATTTAATATTTGTTACTTAACTCGCAATCTTTCTAATTCCGTTATGCCTTGAGTTACAGATAACCAACGTACATTTTTCATGACATATTACCGCAAATTCACATTCCAAACAAAAATTTGTCTGCAATCCATCTGGCGCAAAGTATAATGCGGCCGCCGGTTAGAAAGGGATCAATTTTTATGAAAATATATGAGCACGTTTCTCGGAATACAAAGAGGTGGCCATTAAGGAATATCAGCGAGATAACTCATTACTTCAGATGCAGCTGGGAGAAAACTTTGATTAACTGTTTCGTTGCAAAGAAGGCGAGCCTTGTGTAAATGCAAGTGGGAAACGGAGAGAAATGGATTCAGAAGCGGGATGTGCTAATTTGTAAGTAAACAGAGCCAGATCTTTACATTTTCCGTCTTATGTGTCATTGAACTTATCGATTTTAGATAATGGCGTTAGAGGAGACAGAAAAGATAATGTGCTTCGAGAATAACTTTGAAGCTTTACTGGATGCATTACTAGTACAGTAGCAAAGAGTCTTGGCCGCTTGAAGATTTGCTGTTTGATCATTTGGATCATTTTTCTGCTCAGTTGTCTTTAGATTTTTAAGACCTTGGATGTCCCCAAATTTAATTGTATTTCCTTAGAATCCTTTGTGCAACTCGTGCATCTACAAGTTTCGGGACTTCCCTATATTCCACTGGACCTCCGGATTACCTCGAATCTCCTTAGATTGCGTCGCATACCCTCCCAGTTAGGTAGACAATCTTCTAGGATACCATGGAATCTTCCTTGCCTCTGGTCTCCCTAGAATCGACTGGATCTCTTCAAATTTAGTCTCGAATGTCCTTTAATTTGTTCGGATATCTTCACAATGGAATACTTTACTCGTGACCATTTGCTTAAGCGCAACCCATTTCAGCTAGTTTTTTGATTCAATTATTGCACAGATGAGCCTACCGTCACGGGTATTACGTATCCTGAAAAGCGAGATTTCGTCGTTTTCTTATATTTCGTAGGTTTTTGTGACATAACGTAGGTTTTTCTACAAGATGTTAATTCAGGACAAGCTGTTGTACACTTTTTGTGAACTCGTTTTGTAGCTGTAAGTGTTGCTTAAACGTTAGCGAACAGCGATCATAGCCATCAAACGTGGAATGAACTATTTTTACACGAAAAACTACCTAGTCCAGAAGATGACATTTCTACGTTTTTTTTTGACGTTTTTTAGGTTTTTTACATAATACCCCTGCCGGAGTGAGCTGATTTTTTTCTAGGTAACATACTCCTTTAGGGACCGTTCTTACCAAAATCAGCTGGCGACAGCAACGCGACTCGGTACAACTGTAGCCTGTTGACTGTATGACAAGTTTTTATAAGAGCA